AGACCAGATAGAAAAACAGGCAGAGAGACAGTCATTATTATTATAAACACGCTAAAATAGACACTGGTCAGCAAAGTTTTTGGGATTTACAGAATTGATTTCTAATTTTATTTCAATTGAATCTTTGCTTTGTTATTTAACTTTGTCCAATATGAAGTCGTCCTAGAAGAAGCCTCTTTTAAAAAAAATTCGTACACATTTATTCGCTTGAAAATTAATGAGGAAACAATTATATATATTTGATATAATAACAGGAATCAATTGAGTTTTATAAATTGAAGATTATTTTTAAAAAAATTGTATTTAGCATCTATTGCATCTTTCATTATTCCCTAGTTAAACATTATTCATAATTTTAATAACATCTTTGTACGTTTTTCTAAGTTATATATCAGCTGATGTCAAACTCATGGTCCATACGTTCATGTTCTGTAACTTATTATTTTGTTGGACAGTGTAATTGCCTGCAACTTATGTCACATTACCACAAGCGATGACAATGCTATTGCTGAGAATTGGGTCAGTCAGCGCTCACGTCAACATGTTGCAAGTTGTAAGCAGTTGTGCTTGCAATCCCACATGTTGCTTGGCCAGGAAGTACAGGAAGGGGGCGTTAAAGGTAAAGGCGGGGCCAGACTGTGACAACTCGCAAACTAAACTAAGCTGCATCTTAATGACAAGCCGAAGCGCACATTTGAAAGTGAGTGTGTGCAGCAACAATGGCAATTGTCTCATTAGCGTAACAGAACACAAGGTGCCTCAGCTACACCTGCCCCCGCGCCCACGTGAGGCAAGCTTCATGTTTTGTTAGGATACATATTGTAGTTGGTAATTAATTTGCGACTCGCAATGATTTCTCCGCATTGTTTCGCACTGAGCACATTTGCATAATTGTTTCACATGGTTCGGCTGTTGCCTGTTGCCAGTTGGCAGTTGCCTCACGTAGGTGTTGAAAACTGTGGCAGTCGCTGTTCGTTGGCCAAGTTTGTTTTTTTTTTTTTTTTGTTTCTTACTTTTCCAGTTTTGTGCGCTATCTATGGCTAATTTTGCAATTGCCGCTCGTAACTAGCCGCGATTAATCAGCCGGCCAGCAGCAACTACAGCCAATGGCATAAATGAATTACTCACATGAGCCGCGCCCGCAATTCGCAATCTAAACAAATGCAACTCAGTTAACCAAGCAGCCAACCCCTTCTGCCCACTGCTTAACACAGGCCCCGACCCCCTTCACACATCCCGACCACCTTTATTTGTTTAGGCCAGCAATTTTTCTCGTATTTCGCAGTATAATTGATCATGTTTTTGGTTTTTGGTATCTGTGCTATTTGGCCTCACACAATTGTGTGCTCATAAATTTTGCGTTTTTCGCCCAACAGGAAATTATGCCAGACCAAATGGAGTTTTTGTTGTTGTTCTGTTTTTGCATCTGGCCAAATTGCAGTTTTTTCTTTTTTATTAAAATATTTTTATTGCCCAACACAACAGACTTCCAATGAATATTAAATGGACCTAGCTATCGGAATTGGCACATCGAACCAAATTAAATGCATACGCGTTTAAGTGCACAAATAAACATTAAATTATGTGGCTTATAATATTACATATGATATTTCTCAATATAAGGTTAAAAGCGCGTAAGAAATTTTCACAGAGGATAATTGCATTGAGGCAAATTTAATGAGTGCAAAGTTAGATCGACACTTTTAAATTAAATCAAATTAATATATTCTTAAACATTTGTAATATTGTCTTAAGTATTAACGTTAATCTCGCTTTCTTTTTTAATGTTTTTAAAAGTTTCGTTAATAAAATACCTTTTTGCTCAATTATTTATATTCTTTTTAAATCAAAAGTTTCAAGGGTTTTAATTTCTATTTGATAAAAAGTTTTTAATCCAATCAAACCTAATAAAACAGATTCATAACATATTTAAATTGGTATTCACTGTGCAATATTTATAAATAAACTCATTTAAAACAAATCGCAGCCTTCAATTATGCTCAATTATTGGATGTGAAAAAAAAAAGAATTAGGTTTCTGTAGTTGCCGTTGGCTTTTAATGAACATCGCAATCTATGCTCTGCACTTATAAAAAATGTACATTTTTTATACAATTTTATTAATATTGCAGCGTTAACCAGTTTTCCACATGGCCAACTGCACCACTTGGCACATATGTGAGTTGCATATGTGTGTTGGTGAGGGGGTGTGTGGTCTTCAAATTGCATAAAGCCCACATATGGGTTTTCGTGCGTGATATATATATATGTATATTTATATATATTTTCGATTTTCCATTAGTTGGCAGCGTATTACAAAAAAAGTTTAGTTTTCGGTCTAAGTTTTATTTATTTTATAATTTTTGACTCCAATTAATTTTAGCTTTTTTTTTTTACTTTTTCTTTTCTTTACAATTTTTGTTGCAGCTGCATATGAAAATTTATAGTTTGTTTTTGTTGAACCCGTCCGCGTCGCGCATTTTGTGCTGATTTATAAACTTTCGTGTGGCATGAAAATTAATTCCATTCAGTTTCATTGAGTGCTGAAAAGTGAATGCAAATAATTTCAGCGCTTTGACTCATTAACGCAACGGGGAGTATTCATTAACATTTGCTCTGTGTGAATTATGAATAGTTTAATACATTTTCAGCGCTTTGTTAAGTATTTATTTTTTTGTTTTTTTTTTTTTTTCTCCTTTTTAATTTGGTTTTTGTGCTTTTGGCCATACAATAACATCAAAACGTGCTGAAGGTGTGGTCCGCATCTCTGGCGTTTACCTGACCGCCATAATAAAAACAGTAATAACAATTTGTTGTTGTTTTTTTTTTTTGTTGATATTCTTATTTAATAATGAAATGCGATTGAAGCAGTCGCACGGCCACGACGTGACCCATTTTTGAATGGCCGAAACACGCTTTCAAAGGCAACTAAAAAAATATAAAACTGCATTCAACTAGTGGAGGTTATAAAGTAATTCACTTGAAAACCACACTTAAAAATATTAAATAAAATATAAAATCTTTAAAAATCTTTTATTTTGATCTATTCACGATTTTAGAAGTGATTTGAAAAATATATACTTGAATATCTTAATGCGTAAGAAAAGTATAAAAATATATTTGATGCATTCAAAATTTTATAATTGCTAAAAAATAGCAATAATTATTTTTAGCGTTATAAGTATTAGTAAATATATTTAATACTGTTATTTCTTTAGTATCATATCATAAATCCCAACGAATTAGCCAAGCTACTTCAAATAAAAAAAAGCTGTTGCACCTTTTATTTTTAGTCGATTTAATCCCATTAGGAAATTGGCAGCGCATAGTCAAAAATTGTATAGGAATTTCTATGATTGTGGACTTTTTTTGTGTTTTTCACACTTTTGTTAGACACACATATTGCAGATGCGAGTGTCGAGACATAAGCAATTTTCACACTTTAAATTTTCCAACACGCACCTCCTAAGGTGTGCCTGTGTCTGTGTTTGTGTGTGTTGGTGCCCCAAAAGGATTTTCACGCTCTGCGTTTGTCCTGCTGGCATTTCGTTCCAGGCCCGGTGAGGGTGACACGCATTTCAAATTGGATTTGGCCGAAACCGAGACGTTGCTTTCAGTTAGTTATTGGCCAACTGGCAGCGAGCATAATTTTTTGGCAGCTGGCTTAGCCCGGCAAAAACATTGGTCAAACACTCGCCTTGAGCTACGTCAATTCGCGTTGCTAAATTCTGTTTGCCAGGCAGGCAATTTGCAGCTGTGGAGCTGACAATAAAACTGAGCTAAATTGTAGTTACAAATTAAGCAACACTTTCATACCTGAATTTCCAAATCGCTTGTATGTGCTCATTTATTTATTTGTTTTTTCTTTTATTTGTAGTCGGATTTTTTTGCTTTTTATGCGCAACTAATGAACTTTTATTTGATGGCCCAGCCCTATGTAGGCCTGAGATTTACGCGATTTTGATAGCAGTCGCAGCTAAGATTTTGGCTAGGTCCCCTCAAAGCCAACACAAAACAGCTCATGCTGCGCTTTTGCTCAATGCTTAACCTGGTTTTACTTTTAATTAAACAAATCAACAGACAGCAATAACAACAACAGCAACAGCCACAACAACAACAGCAATAACCGCAACAAAAACATTTGTCGAACGCACAAATCGCGTTTAATTTGAGTCCATAAAAAAAATCAACTCTTTTACTCGCTGGGGCGTCAAAGGAAAGTTAAAAAAGTGTTTGTCGACCTCCCAGTTGCCATGCCTCCATCTATTTTGCTTTTATCTATGACTCTATGCCCATTTTATATCCAACTGATAATGTTAATGATAGGCTTTAAAATCATTTTACCTTCCAACAATATTGTGGCTTGTTGTCAGCTAGCTGCAATTTTTGTGGTCCCAACGCGTTGCGTCCATCATAAAAATCGAATTTGAGTTTAATTTTAATTTTTATTACAAATTTTACTTTCGTGAATGAATTGCGGTCTGCCGCCAAGCGACACTAGCAAAGCCCATCAAACTACTATCCTAAGCGATAAGATCCAACATGCAACAAGCGAAAGCACTTTGAGGGCTAAGCTTTTCGATTTGATTTACGATATCATATAAAGTTTGTAAAGTATCAAACATGGTCTATATTTAAGTGTGAAAGAATTTAACTGAAAAGGGCTTAATAGACAACTGATACAGAATTTGGGTATTGTTGCTTGCTCTTCTATCTATGCCTGTTCAAATAGATTCTATCATAATTAGGGAAAAATTGAATTGCACATAAGGGTTTTAGCATTATATATATATAGATAATTTCTATACTCAAATTAAGTACCAGGCACTACCGACTAGAGCACTCTTACTTCGAAATATAAAAATATGTATATGCATTGTTTCTCTTGTTGCGTAACTTTAACATTAATAGTTTTTGCAAAACTTATATAAATGTTCATGCAATTAAAAGCATTTAAACAAATGTATTGTATATTTCTTATATTTTCTTCAAAGAAACTTGTTAATTAATAGACTAGATAGATTCAAATGGTCGTATCATCATTTGGACATTTTTTATGGAGTGACTCCGGCCATGCCAATTCTGCCAGTAAATACACCCAGTTGTTTCTAGCTCATTCGTGTCTTCGACGTTACAGTCGAACCTTTTACCGTTTGGGTTGCTAAAACATTTATTGAAAATATTAAGCATTATAAATAGTAATAACATAATTTAATAATTGATTTACCTATCCGCGCAGTAAAAATACCACCAGCTACCTTTTTCTGTCGAAGCACAATTCCCGCTTTTATAATCATCATTATCGCTATCGTAGGTTGAAAAATGACGTCCTTTGTGCAGTTTCATGGAATCGCCGGCATTTCCACTAAATTCGCCAATTGAAATCAACTTGTATTTCTCTTGCTCACTTCCAATTCGAAAATCATCATATCTGGCAAAACGCGTTTCATTTTCTTGATCCACTAGTTGAATGTATAGTTCGTATCTCTGTGCGCTCGTAATTCTGTGTAGCCTTTCAAGCCCAAACCAGAATTCTTCATTGACGTTTCCGAAGCCATTCTTGTAATCCTCCCATGGTCGATAGAAGTTGACTTTTCCGTCAATGCGGCGTTGTATTACGGTCCACCCTGATCCCGCCAGATTCGAATCGCACGACCCGTCAAACGGGTCCAAGCCTTCAACTTTTAATGCTAGAATTCCCGAATAGTTCTTAAAATCAACACAACTTTTCGGGAGATGCTCAAGTTTTTGTTTGTATTCAACTAATTTCTCTTTAAGGCTGTTAAGTTCCACATCTTTATCAGAGACATTCTTTTCGCATAAAGTTAGGTTTGACTGTGTTTGGAAGACCTCTGCCTCTTTAATATTAACACTATCTTTTAAATTTGAGTTTTGCATTGTTAAATTCTGCAACTCCGTTTCACATATTTCAGATTTGTCATTTAGTTTTGCTAATTGTTGTTTATTGTTTATGAGAGTTATTGTATTAGTTTCGACAATTTGTTCCAATTCAGCTATTTTCTTGTTTTTTATTTCGATTTCATTACAATTCTTTTCGCATAAAGTTAGGTTGGACAGTGCTTGGAAGACCTCTGCCTCTTTAATATTGAAACTATCTCTTAAATTTGCGCCTTGGGCTGTTAAATTCTGCAGTTCCATTTCACATATCACAGATTTGTCATGTAGTTTTGTTAAATGTAGTTCGTTGTTTTTGAGAGTTATTGAATTAATTTCGACAATTTGTTCCAATTCATTTATTTTCTTGTTTTTTATTTCGATTTCATTATTGATCTTTGCAAAATACTCAAGCATTGGCTTTATGATTCGATAGGTATATGCACTGCATATTTTATCATTTTGGTCACTTGACTTGCAACACTGAAAAAAATTTGTAAATTATGTTATCAATTCACGTTAGCCTTATTTACTCACTAATTCATGTCCGATCAAAGAGTCTGTTAAAGTTAAAATAGCTATTAAAATCGCAAACACTTCACAATTGAAGAACATATTCCCTCAGTATAAATTTATTTCTCGCGCTTATCGAATGTCACCGACTTGACAAACAGCGCCTTTAAATAGGTTGCTCATGTCTCAATTCCAAGAAATGTAGCGCATGGTTGTGTTATCAATATGTACGATTAATTTATATATATATATATATATATATATATATATATAAATATGTATATTAGCAATGCAATCATAGGTCAAATAGGTGAAAAATGAAGAGCCTTGACCAGATGAAATAGATTTGTTATTGAGAAATTATATTGAAACTGTCACAAGTTACTACACAATTCTGATTAATTCTGCAAATTTGTTTAGTTCTCATTAACTTATAATATTTGAAAGTATATGAATGAATTAGTTTAGCTTAGTAAGAAACAACTGACGTGTTCCAATCAAAGGCAAGCCTAAAGTACGCTTGTTTCCTGCAAAGAAAAACAAACTAATAAAATAACAAGTAAGAGGTTCTAGTAGGGAGATCCCGACTAGGCGATATACTGAACCCTCTTCTTCCAACATCAAATGCATATATTTTAGACGCAATATGTCAACTTTGGTGACTGTAGCTTTTATCATTTACCAAAATTGCCCAAAAAACAGGATATCGAAATCGATTTATATCGATTGCTTACAAACGAAGTAAGTTATCGATTATCGGAAACAATCTCGATCTGCGCAGGCACTAGGAGCACCTACATTTCAAGTCTCTAGTCTCGGACATGCTTCCTTCTGCCTGTTACATACATTTGCATTTTGCACAAATACAATATACACTTATACCCATTTTTATTGGGTTCAGGGTATAAGAACGTTCATAAATTTAGTTAAATTTTTAATGGCACGAATTAAAAATATTTTTTCTTAAAGATTTTTAAGAATGTGGAACAAGTCCTTAATGATTGTTAACATAGATCCTTGGAAAGGAATTTTAGCTCGAAACGTCATCTACCACATCTTTGACCCACATTTCCAACAAGGAGGAATAAATTTTAAAAAATTGTGAACAAAGATCTTTGAAAAAGAGGTTGAGGCCTATTGAATGGTAAACCAAAAAGTTTCATAACAACGTTTTTCGCGATTTTTAATATGTAGAGAAACAAATATTTTCTCTCTTATTTTTAATACATATCCACGTCTCTCGAATATATTATATTTAACAGCTGAAAGTGAACCTTAAAGTTAACCTTAATAATTTGAAATCTTAAAATATACTTCCTAATCATTTTTGTCGTTAAAATATTTTTGCAAAAAATTGTAATATCATGTAATCTTACAAAATTACCTTGAAATGCAGCAATTATTTTTATATTTTTATAGTTTTTTATTTGTTATTAAATTTCTTATATATGTATATATATTCGAATCTGTAAGAAGTTTCGTGCCAGTCATGAAGCTGCAACAAAAAGTACGCAAACCAAGACGCAGAGTGAAACTGTCTTGGGGGATTTGAGGCGAGCCAAGCCCCTGTATATGGCCCATAGACAGCCGGTTAATGGTTTGTAATCTAAGGCTAAGCGTTTACCAAAATCAATTTCAACTGTCAGTCGTCATATTGTGCCCAATTGTCGGTGACACTTTAGTGGACAGAATTTAACGTTGTTGTTGGCAACAAAGCGCAGATACAGATACGAAAGTCGTTGATAACCCCAGACAGTTGACATTTCAGCATTATTGAGGTGCATACCAGACTGTGGCATTTAAGGTGTGTGTGAATGGGGCGGCTCTTTAATGACTGATTAGTGGAGCATTTTTGTTAGGGTCTGACCTCACACGCACACACATAGCTGCTGAACAACTATTTGTAGTCGAGAAGTTTCATTTATCAAGCGCGCTTAAACAATTCATCAATTATGTGCAAAATATTTGAGTATGTACACCTACGCAGCAATTGTACTTGCAACATGTGCGTCTGATGTAGCATGGAAATGTTGTTGTTGTTATTGGCGCCGGCAACTGCGTGGAGTGCTCGTTAGTTGTCGTTCCGTTTGCGCGTTCATTTTTCATAATTTCCACACACTCGGTTAAAATGCAACGGCAAACCAAATATAACAACAACAAAAAATGGAAAACAGACGACTTCCGCTTGCCAACCAGCCCGGCGTTCTGGCTTTGCCAGTGCCAGAAGTCAACTTAATTAATTTTTTGCGCCAGCAGCACTTGCAACTGTTGTGGCAGCACCAGAAGCATTGACTTTAACTGCAGCATCAAGTTTGATTTAAGCCATGCGGCAGGCAACCCAAGCCCAATAAGCCTTGCCATGCTCTGGCTACCTTCTCGAACAGGAAGCGTCTCCCATCGACTCCTACTTTATCTGTTTATTGCCGCTGCAGGAGCCAAGTTGCAGCTAGCTAGCTGCCCAACTGCGGCAGGTGTTGCCTGATATCTCTGATTAAATGATTACGCCAAATCATGGCCAAAAGCGTTCATAGACGCACATTAAATTACGCTGTCGAGTGGGTGAAGCCCGAACGTAACCTGAGCTACAAATGCATTTGGCCAAGAATAGCATTCAAGTGATTTGGCAGGCGGTGGGGCTTATGGGAAGGCGCCTTTCATGCTGCAAATACTTAAAGCTTAGCTCTCTGAATTGGTGTTACTCTCTAACTAACGATGGGCGATTAGTTAAGTGTACCATGAATCAAAACACTAACCTAGAACAGCACAAACTGCGATAATTTGTGAAAATAGTTGAGGAAAATCGAAACATCAAAAACTAAAGTTTTTCTGCGCTAGCTTTCTTAAGAGATTATATATAATGCTATGATTACTTATAGCGCACATCAAACATACCAACAATTGTTTCAAATAAATAAACAAGCAATGCTTCAGAGAACTACTAAAATATTCTCTAGGAATGTGTATCGCATAGAAGACATCTCCGTCCTCATAAAGTATATATATATATTATAGTTCAGCATCACCGAGTTGAAATAGCCAAGTCCGTCTGTCTGTTCAATTCTTTGTGAACTTGTCTGGAAATTCTCTTGCAACTGTGCATAGGTCCATCTTTCTGTTGCAGGCAGTACATGATTTGGAACCGGCCGACTCAGACTACTATAGCTGCCATAGAAACGAATAGTCAAAAATAATGTAAAATATGATATCTTACCCAAACTCGGCATTTGTAAGTTTAATTGTACCCCTTTCATGGTGTCAATGCCTGCACTATTCTCACATATCTGCAAAACGAAGGTGTCTTCAAGGGTATAAATATTCGACGTGCCGAATACATTATTACTTTCCCTTTTACAATTAATTTATTAAGTATTAAATTTAGTTCTAATTTTTTAGTACGTGAAACGTTGTTTCTGTTGTTTTTTTTTTGCATTCCATATATTTCTATAGTTCAAAAAAAAACTATACTATATATATGTATATACTATATATATGTATATATACTGTTTTGCATGTTCACTACGTGCTAAGAGTTGGTGGCATTTGCGTGACTCAGCGGGAACTGGTCGCAGGGATTATTGGACTGTCTGATATGTGACCGCTGATTCGCCCACACAGTGAGGCATCTTCAGAGAGTAGGTGCCGGCACCGTAAAGACAATTCTCTAGCTGTAAAAAGTCGCACATTTTTGTAACGAATCGGCAATTAGTAATGCCAGTCGGCATTGATGAATGAGAGTCTAAGCACTCGATCGATGATGTCGACCTACCGCAAAAATCATTGCCAAATAGACAAAGGCAACAGACAAGCCGGAAGATGTAAGGAACGGCGTGTGAACCGTGTAACAAGTGTAGCAAATGCGAGGCGAGCAAAAAAAAAAAAAATGTGACACAAATTAGTAACGCCCTGCCCGCGCCATGGTAGAGGGTATGAGTTGCTCTCTATGGGTTGCTATCTGTGCCCTCAGACATGACGGCGTCCTGTTGTGTGTGGGTGTCTTGTCCATGTGAGAGTGTATTTGTGAGAGTTTATAAATGCAGCGATCTGCATGTGTGTGTTTTTATTCCCTCGAGCTGGGTGAAACAGAGTTTAGTATACATTTGCAGCTCTAAGTCACAGGCAGCAGAGGGAATCTCTCCCTTCGAACTTTGGCTGTTACATTTTCATCTAGCACAAGAATATTGTGGTTTCTAAATGCAATATTTTGTATTATTGTTTATCGTTTTTATATATTTTGAAATTATGTAGAGTGAAATATGAAAGCCTAGAAAATCTGCAACACACAATTTTCATGAGCTTACAATTCCATACAACTAAAGTCTTTATACAGGGTATTTCTTGGTCGGGCAGCGTTAAGACTAAAACACTCTTACTTATTTTTGCCTGTGATGCTGCCGCCTTGCAATGCCTTGGTTGATTGTGAAACACTTTCATCACTTCAGTGTCAGTCGAAATTCAACAAGCAAAATGCATGTCCGTCACATGCGGCCGGTCTGAAGACCTCCAGACCTGACAAACGGTGGGCGTTTGTTTTAATAGTTTCGTCTCGAACTGAAACTGGAACTGGAACTGGCTTTTGAGCCCACACACACACACGCGCCGCGCAGCGAGCGTTTGAAGTGACAGAAGAGAAGAAAAAAAAATGCTTGTCATATGCTCTTTGAAGTGTTGTTCAAGATTTGGGGGCACTGCAGCACCTACACCTGACCAGCAATTACCAGAAACAACAGCAACAGCAGCCCACCCAACAACGGAGCGTGTCGCCAGTTAATTTGTATGCTAAACAAAAGAAATCTCAAAAACAAAAAAATATGTTGTTGACACAAGCCTCACCTCACAACAACAATTCGGGCTCAAACTGTACTCAAACTCAATTTTAGTTCAAGTTCTGTTCAATATGCAAACAATGCACATTGACACAGATTTTCATTTTCATTAGCCCCCTAACCGACTGCTGACC